TTAATTTGACAATGTTTTGCATTTGCATATTGAGTGTTACATGTATATAATGTTAAGTGTATGTTTGCATTCTAGTTTGCATTTCAAATTGTAAATTGAGTGCCGCTGATATGAATAATGTAGACGCAACGCTTTTATAGCATATTAAAGTTTAAGCTTGGCTTCCATGATGAACTTTTTAAGTATAAAATGCACGTTTAAATTTTGAAACAACAACACGCTTGGGATTTGAAAAAAAAACTCATTTTCTGGCCTAACATCCTACACACGAGTGTAGTATAAAAGTCAATTCTTCTTTTACTCTAAAATATTTTTATTTTTACTTGACTGAAGATTGGGATAGTTGGAAGGACTGGAGCAGGAAAGTCGTCATTGACAATGGCCCTCTTTAGAATACTTGAACCAGCACAAGGCAATATAATTATCGATGGTGTCGATATTTCCACAATTGGGCTTCACGATTTAAGATCAAAGATCACAATCATACCACAGGTGAGAGTTTATTATAAATAAGACCAGGAATCATCTGATGATCCATAATCATAATTTCAACTTTCATATTACTCCTCTCAGTAGCCAGCGTTCCACTACAGATATGCATGATATGATTTCTGATAAACATTTGTTAAATTATTTCCTAAAAAACTAAATTAGAAAGAAACTTGTGGTTAGAATCTCTCAGGCAAAGCAGACCTCATATGGATGTGACTTTTCTTTTTAAATTTCTTTAATTCATAAAAGCTTCTCGAGTTTTATTGAGGTTAATTGTTTTGTAAGTTTTAAAATTTAGACTTTGATATTTCCTGATGAAGTTCAATTAAGAAAAATAAAAAAAAATACAAGCTTCGAGCGGAGAAAATTCATAAACTGTTGTTTCCATAATCACAACGATTATCTTGACGTTTTCCGTAGGCATACCTTATGAATTTCCTGCCAAAAACATGTTCATTTATTTAATGATATGGACATCATATTATTCCCGTTATCTATTTATACATAGGATCCAGTTCTTTTCTGTGGAAGCATCAGGATGAATTTGGACCCGTTTGACGTTTTCTCGACTGAAAACATTTGGAGAGCACTAGAACATGCCCATTTAAAAGATTTCGTCCAAGGACTGGAAGACGGTATGGATCACCAATGTTCTGAAGGCGGGGAAAACCTAAGGTACGACAACAATAATCTTTCAATGTTGGAACAGTTTTTACTTGAAAACAAACATGAATCAAATGCCTTATACTTTCTACAGGCGTAATTGATAAGCGGATGTTTAAAATTTCGTCAAAAGTTAAAGAAATATTCTTTTAAGTCTTAATGTTCATTATATATTGCCTTTACATGATACAACCTAGTTTCATTAACACATGTTACAGTGTTGGTCAGCGCCAGTTGGTGTGCTTGGCAAGAGCCTTACTACGGAAGACAAAAATCTTGGTGCTAGATGAAGCAACTGCTGCCGTTGATTTAAAAACAGATGAACTTATACAAAACACAATTAGAACAGAGTTTGCTGATTGTACAGTATTGACCATAGCGCACAGATTAAACACAATTATGGATTACACCAGGTGAGGAATTTATAAGGATGCCCATTGATTGTTCACTTTTAATATGCATACATCAGCTCGAAGCGATATGAGAAGTTGCAGGATGATAACTGAATTTTTTGATGGTCAATACAGTAGAAATTAATTTAAATTCTATTATGAAAGTTTTATGAAATGAAAAAAAAAACTGTTATACTTATATGTAACTGATTTTCAATCGTATCGTGTAACGTGCACCTGACACATGTCTTACCTATACACTTGATTCATGGTATTAAGTAAACACAAATATTTGAAAGCCACAAATGTTAACCAGTTGAGAGTATGAACCTTAAAAAGCTCTTAAACAAAGCTTTAAAGATTACCTTTGTCCAAATGATACACAACCTTAATTCTTTTGTTCGATTGATTAATAAATTTGAACTTTTCAGACACTATACCAATTTTGCTATAACTATGGAAAGCTTCGCCTAAAAATAAATGTATAAAAACTAATGAATACATTCCTGAGGGTCAGAATAGAATATAATGTTCCGTTAATAAACAAAATTAACACAACAATCTAGTATTTGCAAATGCAAGTCATTTTCGATGAAGCATTAACCACTGTATATACCGTTGTCACCGTTATCCCTTGACAAACGGTTAACATCCATAAACAACGTAAATAAGTGTCATTTCAAAACTGGTATTTTATAAGTTTTATAATTCTTTTAATGGTTCAGTCGAGTGTAGGCTCTTTCTGTAAAAAAAAACCTGTAATCAGATGTGTTTAAACTTATTTCTTCACGATTTGTTTTATCAGATATTCCTCGTACTATTCTTCTTTTCCTGTTATGATGGCATTATATTTATGGTAGTTACTTTAGTTTTGACTTTAAGATAAAATGGCTACTTGATTTAGTCAAGCGCATTTACAAAAGTTGCTTTTATATTTTTGTCATATTGAATCTTTACATGTTCATGTATTTGATTATTCCAGAGTTATGGTACTTGAAACTGGAAGAATAAAGGAGTTTGATTCCCCCACCAATTTACTACAGAACAAAGACAGCGTCTTCTACAGTATGGCGAAAAATGCTGGACTGGTAAAATGAAATTTGAGAAGAGTTCAAATTGTAGAAAGCATTCATATTTGACGTCAAATATAAAACAGATGCATTTATTGCATAATTTCTAATTGATTGCATGAATCATGCATAATAAATGTCATCGTGTGGATTCATTTTAAACGTTTACATTATGAATAATTTGGACTATCATATCAACTGCTGCCATTAGTTGATTTATGTGAAAGAAAGGCGAAGGATACCACAGGGACATTCAAACTGAAAGGTCAAAAATAAACTGACAACGCCATGGCTTATAAGGAAAAGACAAATAAACACCAGTACACAAAAGACAACATATAAAACTAAAGACTGAACAACACAAACCCCACAAAAAATGAGAGTGATCCTAGGTGCTCCGGAAGGGTAAGCAGATTCGGCTCCACATGTGGCACCCGTCATGTTGCTCATGTTAGTACAAACCCGGTGATAAGTCCAATTCGGTAGGTTACATTCCGGGAAAAGGGGACGGGATTGTAGTTACGACATTTGGAGCATATCTGTTGTCGTCTGTGAATCGGATATTTCATAACTGTCAATCACCCCGTTATGGCGTCTGTAAAATTTACGAGGGACGATTTCAACTTCACCAATTGCAACTCTCAGTTTAATAGCTTCCTAGTGCATGTAGTGAGCAGTAACCTTCTATCAAGGAAATCATGATAGGAAATACAAGCCCGTGAATATCGTATCAACTTGGAGATATATACTCCGTATGCAGGTGCTGCTGGAATTCTGCTACATAAAAATTAGAAGTTCACAATTAGGAAGCTGGAATCATCTCTTTTGTCTTAAAGTTTTGTTTTCAACCGACCCTCATTGTCAATTTCTAGATGTAAGTCAAGATATAAGGCCGACTTAACTTTATCTGATGTATCGTTTATCATAAGTTCGATGGGATAGATGAGTTCAACATAGTCACCAAATTTGAATTTTGAATTATTACGCGAAAGCACATCATCTTTATAGCGGCAACTGCTAACTACTTTTCATTTTTCCCAAGAAATTTCTATATGAAGTCTGACTCATATGAAAAAAGGAACAAATCACCAGAAGAGGACTACAGTTGAATTCCATGGGATTGAAAAAACACGTCCTCCAAACGTGACAAATATGTTGTCAATCAAGACATCAAACTTCTTAATAATGTCAGTTTCAGAGAATATTTTGTTTGAATCACAGAGGTTTTTTTTTCAAAGAAAGATTTTGCCCTACCTACGAACAGAAACTTAAACTTTTATCTTTTGCTTTTGAATAGCGGGTAGAAAATACCAACTTAAAAAGATGCGCAAGTTACCAAAGGAAAAGTTAAACTTATAGGTCGAAAACAAACTGGCAGTGCCATTGCAAAAAGACAAAACACGATTAAAAGACAACCAGTTTACAAAGCACAGCATAACAAAATAGAGACTGAGTAACACAATTACCACCAGGGGTGATATCCACTTTGTTTACATTTTTGATTTGCTTTTTATTCTGTTTGTTTGTTTGTATATTTGGCAAATACAGCAACTATTTGAAAGGTAAATGCCTTCCAAAAGATAGATGGTCTCTATGTACCTTTCTTATAAATAGGCTGTCACTTTGTTAAATAGTAGAAAAAACCTTGGTAAATACAATACATAAAATCATTCTGATTCCAACTGATGCTTTCTTTTCCTGAATATATTAGAAAAAAACTCATTTAGTCTTTAGATGATGTAAATTAAAGTAAGTAACTTTGTCAGAATGACATCGTGGACATGTAGATATGTTGCGATATAACAATGTCAGATTGGCATCGAAAACATGTAAACCTATGGCAGAGTTCCAATATCAGATTGCCCTCGCAGGCTTGGGAATCTCTTGTAGAGCAACGAATTAATTGGCACATGTGATAGAAGGATTAATGGCGTTGATTGTTGGCCTTTAACTGTTGTCTGCTCTTTGGTCAGGTTGTTGTCTCTTTTACACATTCCTCGTGTACATTCTCTATTCTACTACAATGTCAGTTAATGGGTACTTGCGTGCATCTTATAATTCTACTAATGAAGCTCATGTATGTTTGTATGTACGTAGATCCCTCGAGAGCTGCGAGGGTACAGTGGAATCCGTGTACACTCCCTATCTACTTATAGGACAAGCCCTGGATTGGTTTTATCTGTACTGGAGAACTATGACATTAATTACTGTTATAAATAATTGCTTAATGAATTCTGTAAACAATTTATGGTCAGTGGCACAGTGGGATACCTTGTAGATAAAGTTAAGATTATCTACTGATTATATGACAAACACATGTTGAAAGTGATGAACACATTCATAAGCAAATATTTATATACAGGTCAATATTTAAAAGTAACATAACTTCAAATATAATTTTTTGTAGAAAAGATATCATTATATTAAATAATGTTTATTTAAAATTTAACTTCTTAAATATCACTTTTCCAAATTGTATATTACTATATACTACAATGTACATTTGATTTTTCACAAACATGTCTCTTTTCAAACACACAAAAACATGTTTAGTTACATTTCATTAATAATTATATAAACAAAGATAAAAAATTGTTTTCTCTCTATTATTTTCCTAATTTTATGCTTACACAAATATACATGAAGAATATTAGAAATGATCTATCAACAATAGTTTAAAAAAAAGGTTTGAAAGCTTGAAATATTACAAATAATTTTGCTAAAATTTTGTTATGAATATAAATAAATCAAATACTGCAATCATTAATAAAATGCTAATGATTTGATATTTTAATTGATGTTGTCTCTGATTCAAAGTTCATAATGAATTGTATCTTCCTTTGAAAATCACACATCTTTCTTTTGTAGTTTCATTTTTCTGAAAATAAAAACCGAAATATCTATATATACACATTTTGTATCGCATTAGGAATAAATCATATAAATGTTAAAAAGTAAAAACGGGTATAAGTATTCCAGGGGCATATTTAGGATTCTATGGGGGAAAAAAGGGGGGTATTTGTACAAAATGGTACAAAATTACTGTCAAGTATAATTTATGAATGTATACCCCAAAAAGAATATTTTTTCTTATAAAAAGGGGGCATATGTAGATATTAGTGTCTGTCTATAATTGTATAGTATGCATGTCTGAGAATTTTTTTTCAGTCCGTATGGATTAGTATTTTATTAAAACGATATTCTACAGATTTTTTTTTTGTGTACACCAGCTATCACTGTTTGTTATGCCATCTTATGTCCATGTTTTATTAATAAAACACTTATATATAAACATATTAATTAAAAAAAAATAAGACATTCTTTAATACTTACATGGGAGTTGACATAATCGGCTTTTTCTTTATTTGCTCTGGCTTCACTGGTGTTGATTCAATGGACCTGACTCTTTTTGTTTTCTTTTCCCTTTTTCTAGAAATAGAAGCAGCATCAATCAGTCTTTTTAGTTCGCCATCTTGAATGGTGAAGGTAGTCTCGATATTCTTAATTTGTATTTCATCACCAAAGTCATATTGTATACTTCCTGTGGTGTCCTTTTTCAAACAACCTTCAGCAAGAAAATTTGGCAACACAGCATCATGAGTCCAAACTGTGAATAAGTATTTGATTTGACAGTTTATTAATTTTGTAACTTTTATAAGTGCAGATTTTGGTGGCATCCAAAATTTGGGATGTTTTTGTTGCTTTCCTGGTGGTTTAATCGACATTTGACGAATAGCTTCAAAACTCAATTGTTCGGATTTAATGCTAGCTGTAGCATACAACCTTTTGACTATTTCAAAGTACACCTCCTCATTAAGTGCAGCAGAAATTGGTTGCATTGAACCTGGATCATTGTTGAATGCAACCAATTTTTCAAGAGCTTCTGGTGTTTCAAAGATTGCAGATATCCATTTCTCGTGGGAAATGCCTTGAAATTTTGGAAGAAAATCATTTCCACCAATGCATAGTGCAATCACTAGCGTTAAGACATACTGTCGTCTAAATCGTGCCTCTAGAATCTCTAGGATAGTAGTTATGCAGTACAGTTCAGATTTTTGTTTCTGAAGATAAACATAAACTTTGTTTCTGAATGAACCGTCACTTCGTCTCGTCCAGTGAATGGACAATGCAAATAAATGAATTATAAGACTGTCAACATCTGCTGATGTTACGATGCTGACAACTGCTTCATTTTCTTTTAACTTTTCGTTCATATCAGACAACCAATCAACCTGTGCCATTTCTGCTTCTCCTTTTCTTTGTTTAATATGGTTTAACATTTCATGTCTTATGAAGCCTGATTTTGAAAAGTATGCTCGTACAGGAGTTGTGTGTAACTTGTATGGACAAGAGCATTCATCAATCTTGTGTTTAGTACAAGTTTCTAGGAATAATTCACTATCTATATCCAAAACAACATCTTTTGTAATGTTCAGGTTCTTAACATTTCGGGCAAGATAGTTACTTATTAGCCTTTTTCCAAGATCTGTTTGTATAACAGCTGACTTTGAAAGCTTATGCTCAGATATCATTTCTGATCCAATTTTTAGATGTGAAATGGTTGAAGATGATATGGTTTGCCTTTTTTGTCTAGTTGCTGCCTTGAAGTCATCTGGAGTAAAGCTGTACTTTTCTTCACATATTACTATTCTCTGCAAGTTTGGGAAATTGTTGGCATTCAGAAAACGTTTAACTATTCCATTCTCAACATGAGATAAATATTCATCACCTGATGTTGCAGTTGTCTTAAATTTTACCCCTGCAAATTCTACAGTTGCATATTTGATGTTTTGTTGTATTTGGGCTGGTATTTCTGTAACATTAAGTAAAATAATGTCATTACTTGCAAGGTATTCCTCTAATTTGTGCGGTTCAATACAAGGTATGCATAATGACAATACTTTTTGCAGTGCTCTCTTGATACTTGGAGATTTCTGAATGGTAGATTTTGAACAGTCTGGATTGACTATAGCCTGGCATGTATTCATCTCAGAACTGATGCAGTCAGCTATTGTTTTTTGTCTCTTAACAAATGCTGTTCTTTTTGCTTCCTTCTTCTGAGCTTCTGATAATATTTTTGTCTTTATATTTGCTCTTCTGATAGTGACTCCTTTAGATGTTTTCAATCTTTGAAGAAGAGATGCTGGTCCCTTGACAGTTGTTAAATTAGGAAGATCATCAGTAGTTAAATTAAACAATTTTTGTTGACAGGCATACTTCTTGACCATGTACTTTCCAGCACTATATGACTCCTTGTCTAAAATAGCATCAGATAAAATTCGCTTTGTTTGTCCATAGACATTTTTAGGAATTGAATCTTTTTCTAAACTTAGTGCTCCAACTCTTAATATCAGTTTAGCAACAGGTACAATGAATTTCAGGTCTTTTTCCGTGATATTGAAGTTAAGCTGTTTTTGTTCTTCAGATGTAGAAGCAAAAGAAATGTCCTCCTCTTGTTCATTAATGGCTGTTGTGTTTAATTGAGATGTATTCAAACCTCTCCTTGCGGACTGCACATCAGTAAAATGATCTACTATAGCCATTCTTGGTATGACTGATTCTATAGTTGATCTAGGTCTGAAACCCTTGCTTGCATCCTGATGGTCCATTTCTCTTTGTGTATCTAAGGCAAAGTTGACATCACTGTCCTTGTGTGGTGTTGAAAACAAGGATTGCTTCATATTTTGGTGAAACGTTCCAGCTGTGTAGTGAACATGGAGTAAATCAGTACAAAAAGAGGCATATGATGTGGCACCATTTAAGAACGAAAATGGCAATGAAGATTTCACACATCCAAGAAGAAGGTTGTAACCACTGGATCCCCCCATTCGCTCTGCAATGCTTATTCCAAAAACTTCTTCACAATGCCGCATTAAATCATCATGCAAAGCAAATGTGGCATTATTTTCCCGCCCCTTTGCCATAAAAGAGCTGAGACGGTCATACCATTGCGTTCGCAGATTATTCAGGTCAGTTGATTTGATGTCTTGTATTAAGTTGTTGGCTTCTTGCTTTGTTAACGTTGACACAAATTTCAGGAAAAATGCTAGATGTATTGCAAGTGCAAGTCGTTTTATATATCGGGCTGCTGTTTCAATATTTGACGATAATAAATCTACCCAGTCAGCTTCTTTATCTGTATCTTTCATGTATTTCATGAGGTGAAGTATTCCTGCATCTTTGTATCCAGAGAACAAATTAGTGATTTTGGACTTTTTTAGATGGAGAACTGGGAACTCTGGTAAGAATTGCCGAAACACTGGATCTTTATTCAGTAGAGTCAGTAGGTTCTTTGCAATTTTGTGGTCAGGTGCAAAAAGAATTCTGTCTTTGAAGAAATTTCCTGGATATCGCCCCAGTTTCACCAAAATATCAAGAAGGATTTCTTTCAGGTGAGCTATATCGTCATCTCTTCCTTGTGCTGGCGTAGGATGCTTGCAAAGTAGAGGTGGGACCATAAATTTTTGAAATTTTAAGCTTACTTCATCCAGTTCATAAAGTTTCAAGTTTGTTTCATCTGAAAGTGCTGACATGTTATTTTGATCTGCTGGTTTCTTTTCAACTGACGGTGATTGGACAGTTTCCATTTCAGTTACATTCATTGGTGTTTGAGGTATTTTTGAGATTGTGGAAATATCAGCTTCCTCAAAAGAAATGTCTAACGGTTTGATGCCATCCATAAATTCATCTTCTGGTTAAAGTTCAGCCAAATATTCATCTTCTGCCAAATATTCATCCTTTTCATTGTCAGACTCATAGTTATCTGACAGTGTTGGCAAAAAATCAGCCTCCTCCTGTTCTAAATGGTCTTGTAAGAGAACAGACATCATTGATACATCTAAATCATTCATTGATTTTTCCATAGCATTATCTTCATCTTCGCTTTCATTTTCATCAGCAAATTGTTCTTCATGCAGGAAAATTGCTTGCAAGGATTTGTTTAAATCATCAATAGTTATGTCACTAGATTCTTTGTCAGCAATGTGAAAGCTCATGTCCAAGTATTGTGAACAGTCTTCTATCAGTTTCTCTATGTTTGGAATTTGCATGGCAGGACCAAAACTTGTTTGAACATTTAATCTGTACAGAGCAATCTGTTCATCTTTGGTGCAGTTGAAAAGAAGGTTGTGGTCATCTTTGTCTAGTTGTTTTCTTTCAAAACATGGACAGTCATTACCGCCTGTGCAGTCTTTCTCGTGCCATGTTTCTACAATCCAAGAATCCTTAGGTAACCCTTTTATAGTGATCGGCAGAGTGCAAATTTGACTTGTTCGATTCTTACCAGGATCTGGATCAGCATGTACACTTAATCTAACAAGATTGTCCAAGTATAAAATGGCATGACAGTCTCTCATGCAAACTTTTCTTGTTGAAAGTTCATCGTTTATGGTGGTATACTGTAAAGAGTACTTCTTGAGGAATGTTTCATAGTATCTTTTGTCTACATCAGCCAATGATTGAAGCCATCGTGATGCTGACTTTAAACTTCTAGTTGTACCACTTTGTCCAGTTACAGAGAAAACAGTTGATATTGAATGATAATTTACAATAAGTTCTTCAGTGTTAAGCTGCTGTACAATGCCATTATAATTTCTGTTTAGAATGTTCAGTCCGGAATCAAGAAGAGCATACAAACGTCCAATTTTACTGTATAAATAGTTGTCACCTTCATCTGATCTCCGGAGACTCTCCTTATTTATAAACAAACTGCCTAAAATAATTTGAAATTCCAATGGCACTTCTACATACCATTCTTTAAGTAAATCAAATTGTCGCCAGTTCAAAGGCCTGTCAATGTATCCTGCAATACCTCTAAAACAATGTTCACAATAGATTAAATCATTACAATCAATTGTGTCAGGGGTAAAGATGTCTGTATAACTCTCTTCAAGTTCTCTAGATACATAAAGTACTTTGTCTCCTAATTTTTTTGAAAAGTAATCATCACGTATGTGAAACTTATGTACTGCGCTGAGTGAGCAATTCTTACAATTGTATGCTGAAAGTGTATTTTCCTCCATAAATATAATTTCTGGAACAACAACTCCATGTTTTTTATGCATATTTGATCTTAAAAGTGTTGCATGGTCATCGTATGTCTGAAAATCTGTTGCTGATTCTACCTCAACAAAAATATGAATTCCATGACTATGGTCAATGCATAAAGACTCGATACACTCTGCAGCGACAACTGTATACTCATTAGATATAATATCGTTAAAATCAATCTTTGTGATTCCATCATAAGTATGTGTAATACCATGCAGTGTTAAGGTCTCTCCATTGATAACCTCCGATGCTTCTCTGCGTCTCTGATTTTCATAGATTAAGCGTGAACCATCAAATGAGAGTTTTTTTCCGACATCTGCAGCCTGTTTTAGTTTCAGCAAAAAAAGTTTTTTTCTCCTTAAAGATTCTTCATACTCTAATTCAGTTCCATTGTTCTTCCAAAACTGATGTTCAAATATTGTTATTTTGCTCCATTCTTCATTAGTAAATACTGTTTTATAGTTTACGTAAAGAGTTTGAATGGCTTTTTCATTTGGAAAATATTTATATGATCCAAATATATTCAGCTCAGAAATTTCTCTGTACAAGTCTAGTGTTGAAATATTGTCTTCTTTTTTACTTTTGGTGCAGAGAATGTTTGAAATTTCTCCAATAACATTATTACAAACGGCAAAGTCGTTGATATGATTTGCAGTATATAAAAGAATACCTTGAAATGTTACATAAACTTGACCATTACTTGTCCTCAAAAGATTCCTCTTTGATAGTTCCACTTTTAAATTATCTGGGCGTACGCTTTTATCCCCTTCCTCTCTTTTACTACGAAGAAACCCAATGAAATCAGAGAGCAACAACAGAATTTTATCTTCCTCCTCAGTAAATGCAAGACCTTTTAATGTTGGAACAATCACAGACGACATTCTGTAATGTAATTAAAAAAACTCATTGTTAATTTTTTTTATTTTTGTGTCTGATAATAATTTGATTAAACACTCATTGAATTAAAGTTTAAAAACTATTCAAGTGTATGGGAAACTTCAGCATTTGTATCATTAAAATTTCACTAAACACAGCTTTCCTTATATAACTGTGCTACATGTATTTACTCTAGAGTCCTGATATAAAACAAATTATGCACGTTGAGCTTGTTTTAGTTGCCCCCAAAAATAACTATTAATTCGTTGTTTTGTTTACAATATACGTCTTTATTTCTGCCGTATTATGACATACATTCAAAATTGAATTGTGACCTTTTTTCTTGTTTGATATTTATTGTGTAGTTTTTATATATATCTTTCCTAGTCGGGAAAAGATTGAGTTTAAACACAATAAAAAATACATTCATGATATAAATATAGAGATATTGCTGATATTAACCTATTGTATAAGTTTTATGAAAATCTGACAAGAATTGTTCCCGTGATAGCGCTAACAAGACTGGCCGGACAGACGGACGGACATACGGGGGAACGGATGGATGCCCCTGTATTTCAATGTCCCCCGCAAAGTGTTACAATAAGCACAGACTTAAGAGTTTCAGTAACATTTGGCAAAGATAAACTAGTGCAACCCCCCTTTTTTTTAGTTCAATCAATTTAGTTTGTACGTTTAAGGGTTATTGTTTAGGTTGTATTTATTCATATCTTGTATAGAATCTGAGTGACATAAAAGGAATAGGAATTTTTGTTCCTTATTGAATAATTTAAAACTGGATTTAATACTTGTGTCACTTTACAGAAAAAGTGTTTGAAATTCTATACATCTATATGCCCGATAATTCATCAATAAAAAGAAGAAAAAATACTTACATGTAACATCTGCATGGTCTTTTTTGGCTCCGAAGTTAGATAATATTTGGAACTATGAACAATATCAACTACAATAAAAAAAAATAGTACAGAATAACAATGACTAAACACACATGTAATGTCTAATAAATATTTTGTGATTCAATTAAAAAATTTACACCTTCTCTCCCCCTTTATTTAAGGTATACATTGATGAAACAGTCATATTTTATCAATAGATGTTTAATTCGAAATGATTAAATAACATCACATAGTTTATATATTTAGTAGCACCTATCCAACTTCTTTCTTTAATTGTTTTAAAAAATACCAAAAACAAAAAAAAATCCAAATTACCGCAAAAATATATCAGTAAAAAAATTAACAGAAAATATATTTTTACATATATATATATTCCTCTAAAAGTAAAGTAGATGTACCATAAAATATAATTTTATTAATTTTTTCATCAGAATATATTCATTCATAATTCATGTATATGAAATTTAAATCAATACATACCAATTAATAACTGTCTTTAAACCTGTATCATTAATTTCTCCTTGTATCTGCCTTTCTCTTTCTCTTTCTTTTTCTTTATAATAATATCAGGTCAAAACAACCGTTAGATTATATTTGACACTGACACTCTTATACATACTACAAGCTCAGTGGGGTGCTACAGATAACAATTTGCAGAAACTGTCTGCTAATAACCATAACAAATTTTAGAAATCTGATACTCCCTAGTAACTAGTGAGATTTTTGGGGCTAGACTATACAGTATATCGGGATTAATGGAGATGTGTCACTAACGTATTTACAATGTTCAATATTTCAAGCTTATGGATGGAGTGAGCCTCATATGTATGAAGAAACAAGTTGGCAAGAAGAGGAGCACAGTTGAGTTCCATGAGAATGAAAAGTTATTAATATGGTCAATAAAAATATGATATAGATAAAGACAAATATCATGAAACTGTCAAGTAGTAAAATTATAGTAATATTAATAAACAAACCTTCAAACTATGAAATGAATCAAATAAGGACTGTTATGACTAAGGGGAAGTCTATAAAAAACTGAAAGAATCAAACGTAAGACTATATCAACGAACAACTGGAAAACCAATATGTCAGCGTCCGGTCTTGCTACCAGCATATTCCGAAGAAAAAAGGTTTAGCTGTGTTTTATTGCTCTCATCTGTTAAACTGTTATTTATAGCTCCGCTTTTTTGACAATATTGGGAGACCGCCCAAAACAAACATAAGTGTTTAATGTGATAATGGGACAATAATTGGACCAAGGAACCTAATCTGCGTAAACAAACCTCACAGACATACAACACAACTGAAATAAAACAACCAAACATACTTGCAAATAATTCTCACAAAGACGTTACTAAAAAGTTAAATAAATAAATTAAAAAAAAAATTTCGGCGTTACTTTTGATCGGTCCAATTTAAACAGCATCACAGGGGGTATGAAATCGTATCAATTAAAATTAGAAACAATCTAAAATGATGATACTCTCAAGCTGACATTAGAGGATGTATTATACGATTTTATTATAAATTCGAAACACACAGCAGTAAAAAAAAATACACAGAAAACTCAAGACACAACACCATGGATCCCTACCTAACTGGGGTTAATATCAGCAGCCGCAGAAGGATAAACAGATCATATTCCATATGAAATATCCTTCGTGTTGCTAATGTGAGGCCCAATCTGATGATAAGTCGGATTTTGTGATGTCCCATTCGAGGAAAAAGGACAGGATTGTGGTTACATAACCCTGGTCATCCAATGCACATATTGCCCATAACATTCTACCAACTAGTGATGAAAAATATTTTGTATCACTTTCTATTTGATAATGTGA